GCTGACTGCTGGTTATGCCTAAATTCGAGGCCACCTTATTATACAGGGCTAGGCCTCTCGGAGCCAATTTCCCAGACCCCAAATGCTGACAACTGTACATGGGACCAGCCCAAGTTAACTTTGAGGGATATCCAGGGGCAAGGGACTTGCATACACCCACCTAAGTATAACTCTGGGCAATACAAAACAGGCGAGGTTTATTATTTTTATCTATTTATTTATTTTTAATCCTCACCCGAGGACATTTTTACATTTTTTGTTCAGATAGAGCGGGAGGGGGAGAGAGGAAGAGAGAGAGAAACATCGACGTGAAGGGACACATCGAGTGGCTGCCACCCGCACGACCAACCAGGGCCGGGGACAAACTGCAACCGAGGTACGTGCCCTTAGTGGGAACCGAACCCGGGTCTCTGTACCGCAGGCCGACGCTCCAACCGCTGAGCCAAACCGGCCAGGGCAAAACAGGCGAGGTTTAGATCTCCCTTTCCTCCAGCAGGGAGGACTCTGTGTGGCACTAGGCAAAACCTGCTATTTCTATGCCAATAATTCTGGAATAATACAGGGGCAGCGTTAGTATCCTTAGTGAGAAAAAAAAGTCAATGATTTGACTTGTACGTAAAACCAGTGGGGATGTAATAACTCCATTCTGACCCTCTGCTACCGCACGTACACACCCGGGCAGACTCTTTCTTGTAAACATAAGGGCCTTGAGAAACCCAAAGCAGACTATAAGATAAGGGTTAATGATGGCCTTGGGAGACTCGGAGGAACCATGAGAAAAACGAGATTAGTGGTTTCCCTCACCTCTAACAGCTCCTCTCTCCCCCTTCTCTGTATCAGGCCCCTTAACGGTGCCAAAAGCGACGCCGAGAAAACGTAGTGTTTTTTTTTTTCCTCTGTAGTTTGTGCCTTTAAAAGTGGGCAACAAAGAAGGCGGGCTGCTGAGGATTTGGCGAGAGCCCCCAGCCGCCGGTGTAACAAAGCGCACAATCCGGCTCCGTCTCTGGTTACCTCGCTGACACCCGAGGACACTAGGACCTGGCAGGGCAGGGACCTGGCACGGCCTTGCACGGAAGACCCCCAGTTTCCGTTCCCTGCATTTTCCCTCAGGTGGGGGAGACAATATTTATGCCCTCCAGCAGTGGAGACACCACCACTAGGATCCGCAGCACGTACGCCTGTGCGTGCCGCCCGGGGTGTTCGGTGCACACCGAACCCCAGCAAGGGCAGGGCACAGCGCGCGTGACTGGTGCTGCTGCTCGTAAGGAGCGGGGCCTTTCTCTGGCATCAGAGAATTGGTTAAATATTTGCTTCCTGTACGTTTTGAAAACTGTTGAGAAAGCTTATTAAACACGCTAATACAGAGGGTTCCCAACTGAACGTCAGTTGTGTTCAGCTTCAGATTCCAAGTCTGGGTGGCAGGAGAGATGGCTTTACAGGTGCGATTGGGCGTCTCCTTAAGAGGAGCTGGTCCTGAGAGAAGTGTCTGGAAAGGAGAGCAGCCGGTGCCTGAGCAGGGCGAGCACCCGCGCTCACTTGGCCGGGCTGCTCAGGAGTCCCCAGCGGAGGCTGTGAAGAGCCAGGGGCCCCGTCCAGGGCGGGGTGGCTGCAGCCGCGCTGCCCCCAGATGAGGTCCCCAGCACGAGGCCCGCCGGCCCCTCTATGAGGGAATCCCCGAGGGTCCCAGCTGCGGCACCTGTGGTGTACACAAGTTACTAAGGTCAAGCACAACAACGAAATCAAATACTTTTGGTCCCAGTTTTATTATATAACACTTGACATCAACAGGGTTTAAGACACAAATACAAATGAAATTACTGTAACAAAACATATTTGCATAGAAACATCGAAAACGTCGGTATGTCCTTCCACAGCTTCACAGTCGGAGGCATGCCCCTGGTTCAGTTTGTTTCTTCCCTCAATCACCACGTCCTGCACACCCTCCCTGCACAGCCCCCACCCGCGGACCTGAGTGGGCAGACAGACACCAGATAAGAGACAGGACACGCCAGGCAGCCAAGGTCACAGGTGAGAGGTTTCTGGTCCCCAAACTCCAGAGCTGCGCTCGGACCTGCCATACGTCAGACAGCGGGGAGAAGGGTGCTCAGAATCATGTGTTTCAAATAGGTCTTTGTGGGCTGCGACGTGCTGTCGGCTGAAGTCAGCAGCACTGCCAGTTTAGGTCTATGCCTAGAACAGGTGCGCGTGGGAGAGAGCACATCCACCTGCGTTACATGTCAACACAGCATTGGTTCTGGCTGAGGACACAGCCTTCCACATGAATGCCTAGATCCTAGCTAGCCTCTCCAAGAACTATCACTGTTTGAATATATCTTTTTATTTTTTGTTAATCCTCCGTCAAGGATGTTTTTCCATTGACCATTGATTTTTACAGTGGAAGGGAGGGAGGGAGAGAAACATTGATGTAAGAGAAACACCATCAATGTGAGAGAGACACCTCGATTGGTTGCCTCCCACATGACCCCAACCAGGCTGGGGATTGAACCTGCAACCCAGGTATGTGCCCTTGACTGGAACGGAATCTGAGACTCTTCGGTCCATGGGCCAATGCTCTAACCACTGAGCTCACAGCCAGGGATCAACACTAATTTGAGGCAGGCCACTGCTCTGGAGTACATGGTGTTTCAGGAAAAGTCCCGCTAGCTCACAAACAAGCACCCCCAGGCTCAGCTACGGGGGCTCAGGAAGGTGTGAAGGAGGAGGGAGGGGCTGCAGGGTCCCGTCCTGAAGACAGGTCAACACCAGGAGGCTTGGTCTGCTGGTGCTGCCCAACGCTTGTCCCTTCAGAAACACAGGGTCTCAGACGTGAAGATGCTCCCAAGCCGTAGGGACCTAACCGTGCCGGCGACTTTGATAGCGCCTGAGATCTCCCTGTGTCTGTGGGGGATGCAGTGGGCACAGCTTGTCTGGTGAATCAGGGCCTGCGTGCTGCACAGACACACTGGCTGGGGCAGGGCGCCTGGGTGGCTGTGGCGTGGTCCAGGACATGCTCCTAACCTCCTCCTCCACAGACGGAGGCCGACCCACAGCTGTGCCTTCAACTCCCTGCCTCTGGTCAGCGTGGGGATTCTCCAGAACCGCCTCAGGCCTTCCCGGTCCCCATGACACCAGCGGCGTGGCAGACGTGCCGAGGTCCCGCGGACCTCCTCTACCCGCAGAGACTCCTGGGTAAACACTGGCCCGAAATTATGACATCCCAGCAGGCTCCGGGCAGCTCCAGCTCCTGCCCTGGTCCCTGCTGCAGCCAGGGAAGCTGACAGTTCTGCCCGAGGTCCCCCAGACCTCCTCCCACGAGGATCTCCATGAACCACCCACACATCAAGTAACATGAAAATGAGCACAGGTGCCTTTGAAAAGCACGATGTAACTTTTAAAGTTAGGTGTTCTTTCCAGTTGTATTCCCCCTCTCCTCGATGCTCAGCAACTGGCCCTGCGTGGGCACACACGGGCGGTGGAGGGCGACACGGGCTGGCCCTGCGTGGGCACACACGGGTGGTGGAGGGTGACATGGGCTGGCCCTGCGTGGGGCACACACGGGTGGTGGAGGCCGTGTGGAGGGTGACACGGGCTGGCCCTGCGTGGGCACACACGGGCGGTGGAGGGTGACACGGGCTGGCCCTGCGTGGGCACACACGGGCGGTGGAGGCCGTGTGGAGGGTGACACGGGCTGGCCCTGCGTGGGCACACACGGTGGTGGAGGGCGACACGGCCCGACCTGAAGCAAACAGCTGGGTCGCAGTGAGAGCTGACTGCCGCCCTTACCTCTCACCGAGGCGGCCGAGTCCTTCCTCCGAACTACCCCTCACGTTTACCAGCTGCGTTTCCTGGTCCCAAGGCTTCTCCACGCACTGCACGAACCTCACGCCCCATCTCAACACATCACAGTAACTCACTAGTTTTCCATTTCTCTATAACTTAAGTGATTATGGATTCTGATAAGCAGCTATTGTTCTAATAAGGTAGGACTCAGGAAGTCTCACTGTATTGTAAAGATTACCTGTTTTTTTTTAACCCTCACCCCGGGATAGGGGGGGGGGGGCAGAGACAGAGAGAGAGAGAGAAAAAGAGAAACATGGACTTTTTTTTTTTTATCCTCACCCGAGGACATTTTTCCATTTTTTGTTCAGACAGAATGGGGGTGGGGAGGGAGGGAGGGAGGGAGGGAGGAAGAGAGAGAGAGAGAGAGAGAGAGAGAGACATTGAGTGGCTGCCACCCACACAACCCAACCAGGGCTGGGGACAAACTGCAACCGAGGTACATGCCCTTAGCGGGAACCGAACCCGGGTCTCTCTGGACCACAGGCTGACACTAACCACTGAACCAAACCAGCCAGGGCGAGAAACATCGATGTGAGAGAGACACATTGATTGGTTGCCTCCTGCATGACCCCAACTGGGGCTGGGGACCGAACTGCAACCGAGGTACATGCCCGTGACTGGAACTGAACCCGTGAATCTGGTCCAAGGGCCGACATTCAAACTGCCGAGACAAACTGGCCAGGGCAGATGCCACAGAGGCACAGGTAACTGTAATACAGGAGCCAATGTCCTTGGGACAAATGGACAGAATTCCTCTGAAAAGCTTTAAGTACCAGGTTCCGGCATCCGCGGATGTTTTCTAGAGTAAACTTTTCTCCAGAAAATGTTTTAGTGGTAGTGGTATTCAGCTTCCCTAAGGAAACCCCCTAGGGTTTGCTGCAGCATCAAGAGAAAAGACCAAACGTTCTGATCTCCCCTGAAAGCTGAGGATGTCCCCTGGGACGCAGGGTAGGCGGGTGACAGCAGCCCCAGGAGCACGTGACAGCTCCAACCAGCAGGACACACCGGCCGCCCGGCCGCGCCAGCACAGAGCTGCTTCAGCCCCGCCAGGAGGTGGCGCCTTCCGGAATGGACTTGTGGACGAGCCCGGGGCTGGTCTGGCAGGTCACACGTGGAAAGGGTGTGGAAGACTTGTTCCCGATTCTGGTGACTTCGTCTGTAAACAGGGTAAGTGCTTGCCTGTGCTTTTAGGACCGTGATCCGAGGATGCTCCTTGTCCCACAGCAGGCTCCTCCCGACGTCCTGGTGGGGGCGGGCTCGGCTCGCGCTGAGCCACCGACTCCGGCTACTTCGCGCGCGGGGCGGCCCCGGGCTCTGGCTGCCCGAGGTCGTCGTCCTCTCTGCTGCCACTGTTCTCGTCTTCGTTGGAGTAGTGTCCCGAGTCTTGACTGGTTTGGGAACTGTATGTTTTGTGATCCTGGTCAATTTGACCAGTTTCCTCTGTAAAGACAGTATCTGTATTTTCGATTATAAAACATATTTCGGTCTGTTCCTCAGAAGTGGAAAGCAACAGGTTCTTCAGCGGCTGTTCAGGGAAATACTAATTTAGAAAAGGAAGAGAAAAGAAACGAATCACTTAAAATAACAGAAGTCAGTTTCTAGTTCTCAAAGCTTTAGCTTCCTAGTAAGCAGCAGCCGAGAGCGTGCGCCCCGCACGGTGACGCTCAGAACAAGCCCCTCTGGGCGGGCGGGCGGCGGGCGGCGTTTGGTGAGTGCGCACAGGGCCTACGCGCCTGCTAGCAGGGCAGAGGACGGAGCTCGGACAGCGGGGCCCATTTCATTATGAAATAAGAACAAATTTCATAGCCAATCCCCAAAGATCCAGAAGCACAAATGATACATTACTTTTTCCTGTTCAACTAGGAGTGGCCTTTGTCACCAGCTAATTTGAAGTTCTTTAAATAACAGCTGTATTAGAGTATTTGGAATGGTTTTAAAAACTCAAGGACAAAAGAGTGAAAACAGTAAATATTTGCAAAGCATGTTTCTGGGGCTAAGCCTTCCTGGTAGGCCTTGTTGCTCCCAATCTCCTGGCTCCGCCCCACAGCCAGGAGGGCATTGGAGGGGCCGCGGCTGCACTGTGACCACCCCAGGCTCGGCACCTCCCCCTGCAGGTCTCCCAGGAGAGGCACCAACGCCAACCCGAGCTGGACATACCGCCCCCGGGGCAGAGCCCAGGCTCACACCTTCATCATGTTGTCTTTCTTTAAATACCCTGACCTCAGGAGTGCCCGACCCCCAGCTGAGAGGTGTCACAGAAGGACACTCGTGTCTGTGAGTTCATCCACAGAATCCTGTGGAATCCCGTTTCTGCACTGATGACAGTGTTTTCATCTTTCTGTGACCACCAGACCTGCGATGGTGACACAGGCCCCAGGCGGCCAGGACAGTGGGTGAAGGCCACACCTTGCTCCTCCGTTATACCACACTTAACTTACTGGCACTTCGAAGAAAATACCCAGATCAGCCTGTATCATTTTTCTAAAGAGCAAGAAAACATGTATATTCTGTTGAAATCACATGTACTTCCCATTCGTTTTAAGAAAAATCCAGCTGTAGACAAAGAAGAAACCAACCTCGTCGATGGTGGAGGGAGGTTTGCTTGATGGGAAGAACACGTAGCTGGTCAGTTTCACGAGGGCGGCCACCATGCAAAGGACAAGCGGCACAGCGATCGCAGCAATGACCCCCCCCACGAGCCAGGTTCTGGGAGCAGGTCCTAAAAGCAGACACAGGACATCACGTCAATGCATGTTCTGACAACAGATATGTTCCAAGTGCTGACAACCTGGATAAAAGAAACAGGTGTGTGAAGAAAATCTATTAAATAAATGTCTGTTAAATAGTATCTTTAGAAGTATTTCTCGTAGAACTGAGCCGACGGCAGAGAGGCTGGGAAGGGCAGACACCTTAGTGACATCCGGTGCTGACCCAGAGCTCCCGACATGCAATGTCCCCCAGGACCACCACCACACGGCCTGCAGAGGGGGACAGATGCCCGGTGACCAGGCACCTGCAAGTCTATGCCAGGAGCTCAAGTCCAGACTGGACCATGCCCCTCCCATGTGAAAGCCGAGTCCACGGTGGAGCCAACGGGTCCCCACAGGGCAGCTGCCTTAACGAGTGTGCGAAACATTTCAAGCTAACGGGTGATAATTACGGGAAATTAATTATGTGAATATTGAATGAAATACTAAGCATTCAAAAAACACTAAGCTGTGTGTCAGCAATACTTCCTAAAACTAAAAGCCTCAGCTTGAAGGTCTACTTTGAATTCATGGAGTTCATGAAGAAAATAGTCTCTGTGTATATTTCTGCAGTAAGAACAAAGTATTGTTCAATTTTCAATAAACTGAATTATTTTTCTTCAGTTGCATTTTAATTTATTTTTTACCCTCACCTGAGGACACCCCCCATTCACCCTCATACAGAGCAGGAGGGAGGGAGCAAGAGACACATCGAGTGGTCGCCACCCACACAACCCCAGCTGGGGCTGGGGACAAACTGCAGCCGAGGTGCGGGCCCTTAGAGCAGTGGTTCTCAGCCCTCCCGATGCTGCGACCCTTTGACACAGGTCCTCATCATGCTGTATGTGGGCGGATCTGCACGTGGGCGGACCCGCCTGGAGACAGACAGAGGAGCGGTGTCTCGGTTCCTAAGACCCTGGGAAAGATGTGTTTTCTGATGGTCTTAGGCGACCCCTGTGAAAGGGTTGTTCGACCCCCAAAGGGGTCACGACCCACAGGTTGAGAACAACTGCCTTAGAGGGAACCGAACCCGGGACTCTCTGGTCCGTGGGTCGACGCTCTAACTGCTGGGCTGTCACTGACCGGGGCTCACGTTGCATCTTGAAGGACATGTGAGACGCTGACCTGGCCTTGTCTTCTCGCACACGGGGTCACTGAAGCCGCTGGCCCGGCTCCACACGCCGTCCTCCAGCAGTGCGCGGGCTCGCACGCAGTACACCGTCAGCAGCTTCAAGCTCGGGATCGTGAAATCGGTTCTTTTCTCTTCAATTTTCCTCTAAAAAATAAGTATATCCTTGATGAAATTAGCCACCTCATGAAACCAGATGGGGAATGTCTAGTTTCTGAAGCCTTTAAATATTCAGCCTCAGATCGGCCCCTCCCAAGCACAGCCGGTAAGTGGTTAAGAAACATTCCTCTGTTTTGGACAACACAGCATGACCATGTCAGCAAGTAAGACGCTGCTGCCGAACAGCAGTGTGATGACCTGTGAGACAACTCCGATCCGTTTCATTAAGTACAAGCTGACCCGATCTAACCGCCGCTGCGTGACCTCCGCTTGGTGGCAGAGGGCTGAGCGGGACCGGGCCTCAGCCGGCCCGTGCTAAAGAATCGCTGCCAGCTGTGGCCGGAGGCAGGTTGCTTCCTGTCCGACGGGGAGTGAGGACTGTCACACACTGTGTGACGGACGAAACATAACACAGCCCTGCAGCCCGACAAAACACTCCCTGGCTCAGAGCCTGTTCTTTGGCCCTGGGCAGGGGGCCCAGAGCCTGTTTGGCCCTGGGCGGGTGGCTCCGTTGGCTGGAGTGTCATCCTGGCACTGGAAAGTCTCAGGTTTGATTCCCAGTCAAGGGCACATACCTAGGTTTTGAGTTCAATCCCCAGTTGGGGTGTGTGTAGGAGGCTGCCGATTGATGGTTCACTCTCACGTCCATGTTTCTCCCCCTCTTCCTCTCTCTCTAAAATTAATAATAATAATAATAATAAAAAATCAACAAAAAAACCCCAGACCTATTCTTTTTTCTCACTCACCAGAGTCCTGACTGGCAGAGGGGCTGTCATTGAGGCTGTGGGTCAGGGTCAGCTGCTCTAATGTGCCATGGACCAGAGCCCTGTGGGGCATGTGCTCCTCCGGCCAGCAGGAGGCGCACCAGAGCTGAGCTGGACCTGGCTGGCACCTCAGCCTTGCTCACCTCACATCCACTCACGTGCCACGTCTGAAGCCCAGCCAGGGAAGCAGCGGCTTCGTTTCAAGTGTTTGCTGAACAGTCATTTAATGGATCATACTGTCTGGCAGCATTGTTTTGAAGAATGATTGAGACAATTCATGTAAAATACTTCTTAGCACATAACTGATAGATAAGTATTCAATAAATATGAACTGCTATTATTACTGTAATTATTGATGAATTATCCAGCATAGGACAGATTGGCAACTAAAAATTACTGAATCTCTACCATTTAGCAAGCACTGCGCTAGATATTACTTCTCATGTTATCTCATTTTAAACCTTATAAACATCCTTCCATAAACTTAATTACTGTTACCTCCACCACTTCAGAGAAAAGGAATATTCTCAGAGAGGTGAAGCACCTTGCCTGAGGTGAGACCATTTGGCAGCTTGAAACCAAAGTGAGGTTTTCCTGAACTGGGGACAACTGAGAACTGACCACAATTATCACTGGGTTGAAGTATGCTATGGTTACAGTGTGTTCAGATGGTTAAAATGAAAGTAGCCAAGTAACTGGAATTTTCTTAGATTTCCAACAGAAAATGAAGTTGCAGAATTTACCAGCACAATGGCGTAAGATTTTTATTTTTATTTTTATTTTTAGAAGCTCACTCCTCAAATTTTATTTCTGCCGAGTTACTGATATGATTCTATCTTAAATACTTAACTTATGAGACACTTCTGGTCCAGATGGCGGGTAGGTAAACGCGGTATCGCGTCCTCCCCAAACCACACCAAAGTTACAACTAAACTACAGAACAACCATCATTCAAAACCGCCTGACACTGAGCTGAATGAAGTCCTACAACTATGGAATTAAAGCAGCAGCCACAGCCAGACTGGTAGGAGGGCAGAGGCAGACGGGCTGGTCCCACACCCACGTGTGGCGGATAAAAATCAGGAGGACACCTGGGCTGGGAAGGTCCCCCCTGAGGACTGAGGGGTCCCCGTCCCACACCAGGTGCCCCACTCAGGGTTCCAGTGCCAGGAAGAGAATCCCCATCACTTCTGGCTGGAAAAACCAGTGGGAACTGTGGCTGAGGGAGGCTGAGGCGGTTGGAGCCCCAGGCAGCTCCACTTAAAGGGCCCGCGCACGGACTTACTCAGACTCGCACCATCCAGGCTCCAGCGTGGGGAAGGCAACTTGAAAGGCACCGGAGACATATGGGGAGGAACTGAGCTGTTTGGCATTGGGGTGAGGGCTGGAGAGGCAGCTTTCTCCAGGACAGAAAGCCTTTGTTCCTTTGGTGAACTCTTCCCTGGGGCGGCAGACGGCCACCATATCTGGGACTCCAGCAACCTGGCTCACACTGTTTGCCCTGCCCTGGTGACTCCCGCGTAAGATTTTTAAAGGGTGATTCCTTGATTGTAATTCAATGGGGAAAATTGATCTAGAAATAATGTGGATTATCTGATGTTGTGGATTATCTGTCAGCGTTTTGAATTTTAGTGTTTAAACCAATGTTTCTCAACCCTTTTTTTCATCACTACCCCCACAAGGAGCCCTTTGGACTCTGTTCTAGCTGTCCCCACAATGAGGCCGTCTACGAAGAGATGAGATTCTGCCGGCAAGCATGCCTTTCGCCCAGAGGGCACAGACCACTGGAGGCCGGAGATGTGGCCGAGTACCCACAGGTGAAAACAGCCCCCACGACAGAGAACAGTCCGACCCACAGTCAGCAGTGTTGAGAAACAATGGTTTAAGGTGAATACTGGGGAATCACGGTAAAAACTCGAATCCCTGCCCTGGCCGGGCAGCTCGTCGGTTAGAGCATTGTCCCAATGAGCCCAGGTTGCAGGTTTGATCCCCGGTCAGGGCACATATTATGAACCAACCAAAGAATGCATAAATAAGTGGAACAAAAGATCGATGTTTCTCTCTCTCTCCAAAAAAATAAAAAACAAACAAACAAACACATGTCCATTCCTGAGTTCCACCCCCGAGATTCTGACTGAGCAGGAACAGGCTCAGGGCTCTAAATTTTTGTTTTTGTTTTTTGGTGGTGCATGCCCCTAGCGGGAACCGAACCCGGGACTCTCTGGTCCGCAGGCCGACGCTAACTGCCAGGGCAGGGCTCTAAATTTTGAAAACAACCCGGGCCAGAGGCAGGTGAACTGTAACTGCGGTGTAAAACATGGCAAAATGCTAGCCTTTTTCATATTGTAACTACCTGAGGTAATCACAGTCCTTTTTTTTTTTTTTAGTTTATCTTTTGTCTTCAGAGGACATTTGTTAAAGCTGGGACAGTGAAACGAGAAGGGCTTAGCACAGAAGCAACGGGAGACCTGGGCGGGCTGCTCTGGCTCCCTGGGACGTCAGAGGTCAGGGGCTTTGCCTGGATGAGCTGCTGCTGCCCACTGCTCCCCTGGTTGCAGGTCTTGTGGGCCCTTCGGAGTTGAGGAGATGCTGCCTGTGGGGGAGGGCGAGGGGGAGGGGAAGGCACGGGGTGCTCCTGGGAGGGAATTTAAAAATGTCCCTAAAATTTTAACTTCAAGCTTCTTTTTTAACCCAATCAATTATAACTCTAAGTTACAAAATGACACTAGTTTTCACCTCTGCATTCGAAGTGTTTTCCCAGAAGAAAACTTCGTAGGTGAGCGGGTGGTGCTGGAACGCAGACCCGTTCGGAGAGCCGAGGTAGACGCGCAAGGAGCTGTTCACGGGCTTCACGGTCACGACCGGAGGCGGGATGACAGCTGCGAAACGTGCGGACACGCGTCAGTTTGGAGTAGAAAGTGAATTTAAAGAATGTGTGTCCAGTGGGAGAGGGACGATCTGAAGTAGGAACTACGGCTCACTCAGTCTGTCGACGTCGAACTTCTCCTCCTCGGACCACGGAGAGGTGGCGTTGCCCCTGGACGCCTGCACGCGGACGAAGTAGATGCCCACCCCGGACGTGTCGCGAGGCAGCACACACTGCGCGGTGCTGACGTGCTCGCAGTTCGGTACTTGTGTCCATTTCTCTGAATTGTTTCCAGGAAACTTTTTCATATAGGCACTTTAAGACAAAAAAAGTTTTGTGTTTTTTTTCCCTAAAATTCCAAACACATGAATTTAATAAACATTTGTACTGAGAACCTGTAACAGGCTAGACACTCTGTTAGGGGCTCAGGCTGTGCGGACAGGCCTCGCTGCCCCCGGAAAAGGGGCTGCAGGGGACGAGAGCTCCTTCCGAGGGCGACAGAGCGCGCCGTCTGCAGCTGGCTGGCTGGGCTCGGACGACAGTCCAATGCTCAGGAATGCTGAGAGCCAGCTGCTAACATAGCTACTATTAAAAATTCAATGATATAAACTTACAAATAAATAAACTGTAAGAAAAATAAGAGTAACAAATACTCAAAACTCAGCTTCTTAATTATTTTGCTACATTTAATTTATTGTACTCAGATGAGGCAACACCAAGCCAATGGGGAGCTACTGGGCGTCTCTTCCCAAGTCCACGGTCAGTGACATCACGCGAGCAGCCGACAGCGGCGGGCCGGAGCGCTCACACCACGCAGCCTGGCAGACAGGGCGGACACTCTCTCCCCGCGGCACATGGGACGGACCTGGCACACCCGGCCAAGCGCGCTCACACAGGTGCACGCCACGCGGGCAAGAGCAGCTGGGCACGAGCGTGGCCCCGACAGCTCCGATCACTCAGCAGCCTCCTGCCTGGCTCCCGTCGTCAGTGCCCCCTGCCCACTGCTCCAGTGCGTCCACCTTCACCTCCTTCACAGACCTCACACTGCCCTCCCTCAGCGCGACACTCCCTGCGGCACCAAATGCCTCCAGGACAGTCTGCTGCCAGGCCAGCATCATCCCGCCACTTACTCAACTTCCTCCCTCACTCTCTCCCCGCCCAGTGTCCCGTCGCCACTGTGGAAGGTCCAATTCCAAGGCGGCCCAACTCCTGCACCGCTTGAGTGCGGGCGGGACCCACGATCTCCGGACTGTTACATGAATACAGCAAAGGTGGAGAGATTCTACAGATAAAATTAAGGTTGCAAATCAGTGGACTTTGAGTTAATTGAACGCGCGACTGTCCTGGGAGAGCCTGAGCTCATCAGATGAGCCCTCATTTAAAGGAGGGACTAGCCCAGCTGGTGTGGCTCAGTGGCTGGAGCACTGTCCCACGGACTGAGAGGTCCCGGTTCCATTCCTGGTCAGGGCACGTGCCCAGGTTGTGAGCTCCACCCCCAGCAGGGGGCGTGCAGGAGGTTAAGCGACCAGCAGCCACGGGCAGCACTCGAGCTAGAATGAGATGCCCGTGCCCAACAGTCACGACCACCCTCGCCAGGCAGCACGTGGCAGCGGCTGTGGGAGCCGCAGCTGAGTGGAAAGCGGCCCAGTGCACTGGGCACAGTGAACTGTGTGAAAGGGGATGGAACTCACGGGAGCCACTGAGCTCGAAAAGTCACGTTCTCACGCGTGTACTCCCATTTGAGAACAAAGGCCTGCACTTCCGAAACGACTTGTATGTTTTCTGGAGGAGGCAGTTCGTTTTCAACTAGAAGACAAAGAACACAAAAGCGCACGCTTACTCTAGTGAGCTAGTACGTGGCAAGACTACTTGGCGGCAGGAGAACATGGTGCAGCCTACACAGTGCTCAAGGGACAGGGGCCTACGTGTGTCCCCACACAGACCAGTGACCTCTCAGCTGAAACAAGAGGCTGTGAGATGTATCTAGCAGGTCCTAGTTTTAGAACTGAAAACAGAACAACTAGCTACAAGCCTGCGAGTGCTGATCGGAGCCCCTCAGCGCTGCCCTCTGATGATGAACTGGGGGGGGGTGGGGGCAGGGAGGAAACTACTTTATACCCTTCTCTGGTTTGACTTTAAAAAGAAGCACACACGAAATTTTTAATTAAACACACCTAAGGTCCTACTCTTGACCTTAACTGTTGACAAGATGTCACCGGTTAAATAAATGTATCAGGATGTTTTCATATTTTAACATGTCATTTATAAAGGCATAGTTTTTGGAAGAACAACTCTACCCCGCCTTTTTGTGGAATCTGAACAGGTTTTTTTTTTTGCTATGTAAACGCTTTTGTTTTCATATCTGCGAAACCATCATGTAAATCTCAGCAACGACGGGAAGATGCCCCTGGACCGGGCCACGGGGTGCTCACCTGTGGTGTTCACGCACTGCGTGGGTCCGTACGTGGCAAAGTTCCCCTGCAGGGGCAGGGTTGCCTTCACTTTCACACAGTAAGTCGTCTCTGGTGAGAGAGAGCCAACTTTAATCTCGGGGTAAAAAGCCGTATACTTTTTCTGTAACAGAAGGACAGAAGTTTGTTCTTGAAAAAAGCACAGAGCCAAGTTTTGGAATCAATTCACGTCATTTTTTCTCGCGTGAAGCAAAGACAAGGTGATGCTCACGGTTTCACCTGACGAGCTATCCCAGATGACCACGCTGTACACAAAGTTTAGCCTGTCCAGGCCCCACATGATGCTGTTTATCGTCCCAGGAGGAGACAGGTTTACTGTTATTGCCTTGTCTTCAGCTTTTAGATATACTTTTGGAGGACCAATCTGAGCTGTAAAAATCAAAACACTTACTGTATAACTTCATTAACACAGTGCCAAGCATCAACAAATAGTTGGCCTGTCCCTGACCCAGTGAACTAGACAGTCCTCGTGGGCGCCCTCTCCTGGGGACATGCAGACCCCCTAAACATCCACGTGTGTCATGAGTGCTGTGAGGGAACACGGAGCTGTGGGGGCCAGAGGACGGCAGCCAGAGCTGCTTCAGTCGGTCAGCCAGGGAGCCCCTGCGACACATGAGCTGAAAGTCATGCGAGTATCTAGGGAGAAAGTGTCTATTCCAGGTTGGGGTGCTCATGCGAGGCCCCCAAGACGGGAAGGTGCTCACCATATTGCAGAGACAGGAGGGGCCTAGACGGGCTGAGCGGCGGACAGTGAGGTCAGAGAGGGCGCTCGCAGCCAGGTGCTAAGGAGCCCGAGGGCCGCGGGTGAGGACTGCCTGATCTGCTGTTACATTTGGTGAGGGCGTCCTGGCAGAGACTCGGGCTCCCCTCTGGAGGCGGAGCGTCCGGGATTGGTGGGCAGGCTGCAGGCAGGTGCCAGGAGAGGAGTCGAAGACTCCCGGGCTCTCGGCCTGAGCAGGCGACGCCACAACAGGGAAGGACAAAGCCACAGACAAGCCGGTCTCGAGGGGAAGATTCGAGGTGACTTTGGACACTGGAGCAGAGATGCTGACTATGGAACTGGCGGCACAAGCCTAAGACACAGGAGGGGCTGGGCTGGAGATGCACTGTGGGAGGCGGGGCGGACACGGGGAGCGGCGTCTGAGCGAGCGCAGAGGAGGCTGAGCGCCTGGCCTGCAGCAGCCAGCAGCCAGAGGTCTGGGATGGGCAGGAGAGCAGAGAGCAGCCCTGATTCCAGACACACAAGGATTCAAGAAAAGGAAGTGATGACCACATCGATGCCAGAGAAATGGAGCCAGAGAGGACCGGAACTCACGTGACATCGTGGAGGTCACTGGTGACCTTGAAAAGTGGTTTTAGTGCAGCGCCGAGGGGCGAAGCTCAAAGAGGGTGAAGAGGGCTCGGAGGGGAGCAGAGGTGCAGGGAACTCTGGGAGCTCTGTACAGGGCAGTGGCCCTCAGGGTCCCTTAAAGCAGCGGTTCTCAACCTGTGGGTCGCGACCCCTTTGGGGGTCAAATGACCCTTTCACAGGGGTCGCCTAAGACGTAACAGTAGCAAAATTACAGTTATGAAGTAGCAACAAAAGTAATTTTATGGTTGGGGGTCACCACGACATGAGGACCTGTATTAAAGGGTCGCGGCATGAGGAAGGTTGAGAACCACGGCCTTAAAGAAACTGAGGGTCCCAAAGAACTTTTCTTATATGGCTCCTATCTTTCGAGATTTAGCATACTGAACATAAAAACTGGTAACAATGTAAAATATTAGTTCATGAAAAATAATGTCAAAACCACTATAACAAATATTTAAGTATTTGTTATAAAATAACTTACTTCCCAAACCAACCAAGCAAACACTTAGCAAGAAGAGTGGCCCTGTCTGACTTTTTGTTCCAAGATCCTCTGTGTCCGGCTTACTGCAGACTGACTCTGCACCCACTCCCGCTTGCGGTCCCGCAGCTCGGGCCGGGCTCGGCAGTGACAGCGTCATGAAGCTGCTTTGACCTGCCAGCCTCCTGACAGGGTCCGGGGACCATGCCTTGCCAAGCGCCGTTACAGGGAAAGCAGAGGAATCAGGCTGGAGCGGGAAGGACAGAGGTCTGCGGGAAGGACAGAGGTCTGCGGTCTGCGGGAAGGACAGAGGTCTGCGGGAAGGACAGAGGTCTGCGGGAAGGACAGAGGTCTGCGGGAAGGACACAGGTCTGCGGGAAGGACAGAGGTCTGCGGGAAGGACAGAGGTCTGCGGGAAGGACAGAGGTCTGCGGGAAGGACAGAGGTCTGCGGGAAGGACAGAGGTCTGCGGGAAGGACAGAGGTCTGCGGTCTGCGGGAAGGACAGAGGTCTGCGGGAAGGACAGAGGTCTGCGGGAAGGACAGAGGTCTGTGGTCTGCGGGAAGGACAGAGGTCTGCGGGAAGGACAGAGGTCTGTGGTCTGCGGGAAGGACAGAGGTCTGCGGGAAGGACCGAGGTCTGTGGGAAGGACAGAGGTCTGCGGTCTGCGGGAAGGACAGAGGTCTGTGGGAAGGACAGAGGTCTGCGGGAAGGACAGAGGTCTGTGGGAAGGACAGAGGTCTGTGGTCTGCGGGAAGGACAGAGGTCTGTGGTCTGCGGGAAGGACAGAGGTCTGTGGGAAGGACAGAGGTCTGTGGTCTGTGGGAAGGACAGAGGTCTGTGGTGTGCGGGAAGGACAGAGGTCTGCGGGAAGGACAGAGGTCTGCGGTCTGCGGGAAGGACAGAGGTCTGCGGGAAGGACAGAGGTCTGCGGGAAGGACAGAGGTCTGCGGGAAGGACACAGGTACGCGGGAAGGACACAGGTCTATGGGAAGGACACAGGTCTGCGTGAACTTTGGTTCCCGCAGAGGAACGGGTGAGAAGGTGAGCGGTCCCAACAGTATTTAACCACCTAATGGGATCCCGCGGGCAACTTTTTCTCACCTTGTTGAAACGGTATAAACGCGTCAAGCTCATGCCATGGAGAAGTCCTGTTTCCTTCTTCTGCTCTTATTCGCAATTTAATTTTTTCATAAACATTTATCTTGAGTGAAGAAAAGTCGCATTTGGTGCCAGTAACATACTGACACCCAGGCAATTTTATCCAATTATTCATAGTCCCGGGTCTTTAAATAAAAAAGCAAATGAATGAGTGAGTGAATGTAGAAACACAGAAGAGTGTCGGACATGCTTTGTTTACTAACATGAAGCTAGTCACTTCTACTCAGTTACTGTCCTGTTAACATTTGTAACATTCCACTTTTTCAATGCATATAACAAGTTACTGCTTGTTCACAAAGGATTAATTCTGATACAGAGTTACTTTGTAACAGGTTCTGTAATTTTGTGGGGGGTTGCCTTAAGATTTCCAGGAAGCAGAAAAAGAAATGACCCAGTAAGAGCGGACTTTGCTAAAAGCAGCCGTGACTCCTGGCCAACTACTCTGCATTTCTGGACTGTCTCTTTCGTACTGAAAACCTGGGACCTGGACTGATGGGTGCCCTCTGATCTCCTCCTCTGAACAGATTCACTGGCCCTAAGAAAGACCTCTGGATCAATACGGCTCGCGAATTTCCTCTGTCCCCCTCAGAAACCCAGACACCCTCTGATCCCCATATTCCTTCTACCCCATCGCTAGAAACAAAAGAACGGAAAGTAACATTCACTTCAAGTCCTCAAAGTGGATTTAGTCCATCAAAAAGGTTCAGTGATTAATATTAGATTCTTCGAACACATGAAGAAATCAACTGTCCCCAGTGCCCCAAACAGAAAGGACCCACGGGGTAAGAGGCAGCAGCCCTGCCTCCTGTAGAGCAGAGAAACCGCGCTCTGAGAAGGCACTTTCGTCCAGCTTAATTCAGGGCTCTGGCGCGAGCTGATTTTCTGGGTAATACTGTCGACTTCACTTTAAGGATGCTTTATGACAACAAAAACTAGGGATGACATCCACATAATTCTGGTGCTGACCCAAATTCAAATCTACCTTATTTTTCAAAAAGGCAACATTTTTTAAGATTACCAAAAATAGCCCTGGCCAGTTTGGCTCAGAGGTTAGCATGTCGGCCTGTGGACCAAAGGGTCTCGGGTTTGATTCCCAGTCAAGAACATGTACCTGGGTTGCAGTTCGTCCCTGGCCCCAGTCAGGGTGTGTGCGAGGCAACCAATCGATGTGTCTCTCTCACATCGATGTTTCTCTCTCTCATCGATGTTTCTCTCTTTCCCCCTCCGTCCCCTTCTACTCTCTAAAAAAAAAAATCAGTGGAAAAGTATCTTCAGGTGAGGATTAACAACAAAAAGTCAAAGTTCAATTTCAAGAAAACCTCTAGAGCAGCGGTTCTCAACCTGGGGGTCGAACGACCCTTTCACAGGGGTCGCCGACACCATCGAAAAACACATATTCCCATGGCGATTCATAACAGTAGCAAAATTACAGTCATGAAGTGGCAACAAAAATAATTTTATGGTTGGGGGTCACCACAACATGAGGAACTGTATTAAAGGGTTGCGGCATTAGGAAGGTTGAGAACCTCTGCTTTAGAGATAAATTCTAAACATTTAGAGATAAACATAGGATTACAGTTGAGTATGTGAAACACAGAATTTATTCTTATATTCTTATTTATTAATTATTTTCCATACAAACAACTGTAAACCTACGTTTGCCCACCCCTGCATTACCAGTTCTGAGAAAAACCATGTGTGCGTGTACACGTACAAACACACGTGCCCACACAGGCCCACACGAATTACTAGAGCTGAGGTCACCAATCTCACTGACCGCCAGCTGAGAACGAGCGCGGCCGCAGGTGGGGTGGTGGGCTCTGGTCCCGGGCCACACCTGCTTCCTCGCTGCTGACAACCTGCTTTCTCGGCCGGGGACTCCCAGAGCAAAGCGCTGCACCTCCTGAGCTGTTTCCTTCCGGAACCTCCCTTCAGCAATTCCCCGCCTGCCTGTCCTCTTGACTAAGTAGAGAGTTAGCTCTGGGAAGGAGGCACCGGAGCTCCAAGAACATGGGAGTCTGTGGTAGGGAAGGGTCCCATATACTGATGTCCATAAACTGCACGGACACTGAAAACGCTGTGGTGGCGACGATGGGAGTGCGACCACAGACCGGGTGTCCTGCTCCAGAACTGTGGACAGGCCTTCGGGGCTCTCTCCTGCCTCCTCAAGTCACAGTGACGCCCTAGCTGACTCGGCCTTCCAGCCCAAGGCAGCGGAGCACCCAGAAGAGAGAAGGGGCGGCTGTGGGTCACTGAGCTGCTTGCCATCACCACCCCCAAATCTCTTCGTGTCAACGCCCAAAGATAACTTCGACTAAGTCTCTACTTGCAGAAATAAAGCTCTAAGTATTATGCAGACGTGAAATTTCTTTAAGAGATAAAAAAACAAAGTGTTTCGCGAATCTGGAAAGAAACGACAGGGCTAAAGTCGTTTTGAATGGTTCTGGCCAATCAGGAAGTCGCGGCGCGTACATCTGGTAGTCTGCGGAGAAGGTGGTGTTGCCAGCGGACCCGGCAGGCTCCAGGCTCCTGTTCCAGCGCAGGGTGAAGGTCTCGTCCACGATGTCCACTTCCACACTCTGCGGAGGCTTCAGCCGCGTCCCCCCTACAGAGGTACAGGAAGGAAAGCTACAGATACAGCACAGGTCTTCTGACATGTCCGTCTTCCCTTCACACCGCTGACTACAGCATGAGTACACTTACACACGACAGAGCTCAGCATATGGGAACACCAAAGCACACCTAGTGACTGTTCACATCTCTGCGTCTGAGAGCTGGGAAAAGACTGAGTTTTTTTTTTTTTTAAATCTATAAAAAGCATTATATGTCAACCAGATCCCAATAAAGGTGGAAAAATAAAGGGTAAAAAAGTAGGCATTGTATTTTTTTTTTTTTTAAATGCTCATCTGAGGATATTTTTACATTTATCTTTAGACGGGGTGGGAAGGAAAGGGAGAGAAAGAGAGAGAAACATTGACGTGAGAGGGACACATCGATTGGCAGCCTCCCACATGATCCCGACCAGGGCTGGAGATGAACTGCAACCGAGGTACGTGCCCTTGGCTGGAATCGAACCCGGGACTCTCTGGCCTTCAGGCCGACACTCTAACTGCTGAGCTCAACCGGCCATGGTGGCATTGTCTTTTAACTGAAAAAAACATTCTCTCCATAAAAACAGTTTTTGTTCAGTCCAGAAGTCCCCTTGCTGTGAAGGGTACAGGGTCAGACCGTTTCACAGCCTCGGTCGGTTTCACATCCTATGTTTGGAGACAGTATATGATTCATGTACTCTGATCAAGAACTGGGCAGATGTGATTTCAAAGTTGACAGTCACAGGAAGTGAACACCTCCCTGAACAAAACTGAGACACAGAGGAACGGATGTTTACGATGTCAGCCAAGCCCTGCAGGAGCCTGAAACCATCTTGACAGCAGAACAACCAAGTCTGACTCCTTCTGCATGTGTTTAAGGGCTGCCAGCTACAGACCGACTTTGTTTCTCCCACTTCTAGTGCGGATCTCCCCCCCGCTGGATGCCCACTCTTCTCATTTCCCCTTTCTGCCAACTACAGTGTGCATTTCTCCCACCACCCGAACCTCCGACACCCAGCTCGAGTTAGATGGCTTCTAGAAAAACTTCCTCCAACCGCGCAGCGCCTGCTGACCTTGCAATCCCGCACAAGCGGTGCGAGGGACCAACCGCTCAATTCCACCCCGAGGCGAGGAAAAAGGAACAATAAAGTACAGTGCTTGTCATCTAGTAGGCTCTCAAAACTAGGGGAATCAAGATCTTGTTACAAACTGCTTCTTTGTGTTAAACACGAGTCTGCAGCCCAACGGCCGGGGGCTGAAGGGCAGGGTCTAGCCGCTGCATGCTTCCCCTGCGTCTTCAGAGTGCTTGGCACAAGGCTGGGCTCCCGGGAACTCCATCACCAAGGTCTGCCTTTTCACGGTGAGAAACTTCAGCGTTTAAAAGACCAGCTTCTAAATGTATTTCTGGTTCCTACAATAGTTCTAGCCTTTACTTCTGCCTCAGGCAGGGCAAGCGTGTTTCTCCTTGCAGACTTTTTGCGGCTGGGGTCCTCGTGTAGAACACTGCTTATTGGGACTGCTTCCTCTACTCTGCAGTGGGAGGTACTACGATATGGAATCCAAAGCGGGGACTCCGCTCTGGCTGGTGTGGCTCGGCAGGAAGAGCGTCGGCCCTCGAGCCTATGGGTTCCTGTGGGTCAGGGGCATGTACCTGGGTTGCAGGGTGACAGTCCCCCCACCCCACACACCATCCCATCTGAGCACGTGCGACGTGTCTCTCACTTTGATATTTTTCTCTGTCTCTCTCCCTCACACTCTAACTAAAAATCAATGGAAAAATATCCTCAGGTGAGGATTAACAACAAAAAAAGGGCCTGGCCGGTTTGGCTCAGCGGTTAGAGTGTTGGCCTGTGGGCCAGAGGACCTGGGTTCGGTTGCCACTAAGGGCACGTACCTCAGTTGTAGTTTGTCTCAAGCCCCGGTTGGGGTTGTGTGGGTGGCAACCAGTTGATGTGTCTCTCTCACATCGACGTCTCTCTCTCTTCCTCCCTCTCTATCTGAGGATAAATGCAAAAATGTCCTCAGGTGAGGATAAAAGTAACTAACTAACTAAATAAATAAAAAGGGAGAACGTGAGGGGGACATCGAAGAACACAATTTCTGGCTTTTTTAATTTGAAGAAGTGCTCACGGGGTCTCCCAGCCTCTAGTTCTGTCGCACACTCACATCGAGACTTTATCCTGAACACACTCCGCTCCCTACTCCACTCTAGACTTCACTCCCACCCCACTGGCTGGCATTTGACAGAGTCCACGCAACTGAAGGGCAGTGGCTGGGTCACAGAGGTCACCAAATGCTCTGATGGCCATCTGCAGTGTCCAGGTAAGGACAGGAAACAGGCCTCTCTCCTCTTGGTTGTGGCTTTCCTCAATCTGTGAGAAGCAACTGGTAACCAACACCCCCGCCCCTTGTTGGCTCCTCCTTTAAACAGAACAGCAGGATAGACCAGGGTGTGCCCTTGCCCTCACCCCTTCCTCACTGCTGTTTTAACAGCTTCTGGCTGGTTACCAAGAATTCCTCCTCCTCCACTCCCACTTGCCTTCAGACAGGCCTCTCCCCTTTGCACTCTCTATAGCTTGTGTCGTAAGCTTGTGCAAGTTCAGGAAAAATGGTAAGACATGTCCTCAGTGCATCTGCCTGACTGTCTCCTGGAAGGCAAACAAACTGTAACTTTTTAAAAAAATTATTTTTCTTTATTGATTTTTAGAGAGAGAGGAAGGGAGAGAGAGAGAGAGAGAGAGAGAGAGAGAGAGAGAGAGAGAAACATCAATGAGAGAGAACATCGACTGGCTGCCTCCTGCATGCCCCTCAACTAGGGATCGGGCCCAGAACCTGGGCTTGTGCCCTGACCGGGAACCGAACTGGTGACCTCTTGGTGCATGGGTCCACACTCAACCGCTGAGACAGACGGGCTGGGCCAACTGTAACTTTTAAGACAGTTCCCAGCGACTAGTAACTTAACACAACCCCTTCCCTTCCGTGTCACTTAGGAAAGGGCAACACACTCTTTCTTCCTGGGTGGGTGGCATTACATGGTTAATGCCTGCCCTGTCCTCCCCTGAAAAGTAAAATAAATTTCCTCCCTGCATTTCTTGTTTCTTTGTGATTTCTTTCACAGCCAGAGTCCCCAGCACCCTAAAAGCCAGTCTAGAATATTCTAATGCTACAAATGTGAGCCATGAGATAGGAAGAGGAAATCTGATAGAATACAACCAGAGACTTCCTTAGGGATGCAATCCTGCTAAAGGAAAGAGACTCTAGAGTTAGAGGCATCCTAGCATTGAGAGATCAACAAATAATGGTCTGATAAATGGACAGAATCTCAGAAAATAGAGTTATTAAACAGGATTTCAGATTTCACAGATTTTGTTCTATTAATTCTAGCAATATCCTTCTGATGATAGTTTATTTCACCTTTTTGGCATATAAAATATATAAATGGGCACTTAATCCGAACTTCTATTTATACAGTTGGCTGCTTCCCACCCTTCACATTCACAATGATAACCAGACACAGTCTACTATTTTTGAAAGTCTGATATAAATCCAAACACACACATTCATACAAATATAAATTTCCTCCCCTATTTTGGGTCCCAGAGTTGCATTTATTAAAAGTATGAATATTAGCCCCGCCAGTGTGGCTTAGTGGTTGAGCAGCGACCCATCCACCAAGAAGTCGCCGGTTCGATTCCCGGTCAGGACACATGCCCAGGTTGTGGGCCCGATCCCCAGTGGGGGGGATGCAGGAGGTGGTCAACTGATGTTCTCTCTCATCGATGTTTTCATCTCTCTCCCTCTCCCTTCCTCTCTCTAAAATCAATCAATAAAAACAAAAGTTTTTTAAAGTATGAATATTTATATGACTGAAAGAGCAACATTATGATCTCAAGTTAGGGTTAACATTCCATTTAGTTTTGAACATTACTATTCCTTTGAGAAAAAAAGTAGGTAAACTGAAAACTGGGCTCTGAGGCCAGACTTCCAGGATCTGATTTCTTCCTCAGCTGCTGGCTGTGCTGGCGCAGGCAAGTCACTCAGTGTCTCCGTTTGCTCAGCTGTATAATGAGGATAACGGTGCCTAGTGGTTGTTTGTTTTTTTTATCATCACCGGAGGACATTTTTGCATTTATCTTCAGATAGAGCGGGAGGGAGAGAGGGAGGAAGAGAGAGAAACACTGATGTGAAAGAAACACATGGAGTGGCTGCTACCCACACGACCCCTACCGAGGCCAGGGACTAATTGCAACCGAGGTACGTGCCCTTAGCAGAACCGAACTCGGGACTCTGTGGTCCGCGGGCTGATGCTCTAATCGCTGAGCCAAATTGGCCGGGGCCTAGTGGTTGTTTTGAAAGCTACAGGAGTTGTACCTTTAAAATACTTAAGTAGTGCCTGGCATATAGTTAAGAGTGAAATAAATGCTGTGTATAAAATTTATTTTTACCAGCTCTCCTCTAATCTAGATTAAAATTAGGATCTCAAAAATTTTTTTTTTCAAGTACAGAGCTTAATGCACATCCTCCTGGAATGTTAACTGTATGAAAACGCTGGGGAAATTCTTCTGATGTTATTATTTTTTAAAATTTTCAAAAACATTTTTGTTGGTTTTTTTTTCTTTATTGGTTTTTAGAGAGGAAGGGAGAAGGAGAGAGATAGAAACATTGATGAGAGAGAACATCGACTGGCTGCCTCCTGCATGCTCCCCACTGGGAATCGGGCCCAAAATCTAAGCATGTGCCCTGAACGGGAATTGAACCAGTGACCTCCTGGTGCATGGGTCGATGCTCAACCACTGAGCCACACCAGCCTGGCTAAATTCTTCTTATATTAAAGCAAACACGAGTTTAATGCAAATTTTCATGAATCAAAGACTTCAAAGAAATGACCATGGATTGCACCAAGACCCCTTCCAGCACCCATGTACAACTAGGCAGCCTCCGGGACCCCTGGATTCCTGCCCTCGGTTACAAGCCTTTTCTCTCGGAACCCCTCCTTGTGCTGGCATGTTTATAACCCCATAATTGATGATTGGTTAATCATTGTGCTGCTCCATAATTGATGATTGGGAAAGTCACTGTATGCCCTCTAGCTGAATCAAAATAACCTCAGTAAATTGGGACACTCCCTGAACCAAGAAGTTTTTGGGAGCCAGCTACATGTCTGACAGAGTCCATGGAGCCTGGAGGTCTTGAGTCAGAGACTCAACCTCCCCCACAATCTCAAGGAATTAGGTTTGCATTGTGTTTGTGCAGCTGAGGGCTAAGTGTGACTCAATGTACCTTGAAATACCTGAGACAACAGGCTGGGTGTGCCTGTTATCCGTAAGGCAAACTAATTCTGTACAGCACTGCTGTGGCCTGGGCATTTCATCAAGAAGATCCTATTTTCTGTATGGTATAAACCGCATGTAATAAAGCACATGGAGGCTGATTCCAAAAACTCTGTCACAGGGGTGTTCAGAATCAGACGCCCGCCGGCTAATAAACGGCTCTTATCTGGACTTCAACTCTCTAGCGGTCTTTGGCTCCGTCGGGCCACATCCTCAGCAAACAGCCTGGTGAGAGCGGCCAGCGCCCCAGTGCCCCCTCCCGCAAGGCGGCACACCAGCCCGGGGGCTCCAGTCTTGGCATTTTGGCTGTGCAGTTTTCCTTTGTTGTTACCTTTCCTTAGCCCACAGGAGTCCCGGGGGCACGGAGATTCCGCCACCCTCAGCTCCTCCCCACGTGGGCTTCAGGGAGGGCGGCGCAGTTCGTGGCCACAGCCTTAAATGAACGGGCCAGCTCGGCTGTCCGATTCTCCAGAAAGAAAACAAGTTCCACCCGAGGGCTGTGGACACCCGCGCCGGGGCCGGGGCGGGGCGACCCGGAGCAGGGGCGCTGGCCGCGGAGCAAGCGGCTGGCCGCAGCTTCAACACCGCTTTCTCTTGGTTGATTTCCCAGCCCAAGGCGGTCGGTTTCCATCGGAGCGCGGTGGCTACAGATGACCAGAGGGCTCCCAGAAGGACGTCGGTCCCGCGCCACCCACCTTTCGGGCCCAGCCCTGGAACCAGCGCCGGGACCCCGTCTCTCACCTGCGGCTGCGGGCAGCACCCATGGCTCCCCGGCGACCAGAACCAGGGTCACCACACCCAGGAGGGCGAACATCGTCCGCGGCTCGCCACCGACCCCGCCATTCACAGCTGGGAGCACCCCTAGCGGGATGGTGCCACCCCAGGTCCCTAGTGCCGAGCACAGGCCCCGCCCCCGCACTCGCCCCGCCCCATGCACTCGCCCAGCTCTTCCGCGCCGCCCTCCGCGCACGCACCGCCCTCCGCGCACGCGCCGCCCTCCGCGCACGCGCCGCCCTCCGCGCACGCGCCGCCCTCCGCGCACGCGCCGCCCTCCGCGCACGCGCCGCCCTCCGCGCACGCGCCGCCCTCCGCGCACGCGCCGCCCTCCGCGCACGCGCCGCCCTCCGCGCACGCGCCGCGATTCTACCGCTCCTTGGAAAGGGCGCGCCTGTGAAAGTGCCGGGCCGCCCCGCCTCCTCCTCGCGCCCCCTCTTTCCGGTCAGTACTCACTAGGGTGCACCCTCCTTCTCGGAAAGCCGCGCTTATCTGGAGCTCTGGATTCTCGCGGTGACGTGACACGTTGCCAGTGCGCCTGCGCAGGCAGGTCCTGTGACCCTGCTCGCGTACTAGGGCTGGGAGAGCCTGATGGGGGCGCCTTGGGGATTGCACAGGGGTGGGGGTGGGCAAGCTGCCCGGCGGGCCGGGCCGGGCCGTGCCCTGCGGCGGGGGCTGCCTCCCGGCGCGTGGTGGAGACCGTCCAGCGCTCGTTTTCCGACGGCCCGGCGGAGGGGCGAACGGGCCGGAGAATCGCCAGGCCCCGGGCTTGGGGACCGCCGACCCACATCAGTAAATGGAGTCCGCCATTCAGATGGCGGTTCAGGTTCCTTAACAGGTTATGGGCATTGTGAAAATCAGCAGAACGGAAAATGTAAGCGATGAGAAGTGAAGTAAGCACTCAGCTGCTTAGCTGTTTATCGTAACACCTAAATATTAATGGTCAGTCACATGGCAAAATGAATATTTGTAGAGAACAACGCGGTTGAAATGTGACTTACAGTTTCCAGGTATAATTTACCTCTTTTTTTTTTAATCCTCACCCGAGGACATTTTTCCACTTTTTTTGTTTAGATAGAGTGGGAGGGAGAGAGAGGAAGAGAGAGAGAGAGAGAAACATCGATGTAAAAGGGACACATCGAGTGGCTGCCACCCGCTCGACCCAACCAGGGCTGGGGACAAACTGCAACCGAGGTACATGCCCTTAGCGGAACCGAACCCAGGTCTCTCTGGACTGCAGGCCGATGCTCTAACTGCTGAGCCAAACCGGCCAGGGCTAATTTACCTCTTTATAGTGAACAATGATTTTTAGTAAATCTATCCAGTTAAAAACTTGAGATGATCACTTTGCGATTTAGCAGTTCCTTGGTTTGATCCTGAGTGTCAGTACTTTGTTTTTCCCATGCCATGGATGGGAAAATGCCCCGAGAGAATATGTAAATCCAAACCGAAGAAGGAAATTCCTGGTTTACTGAATCATACTCATGAACAGATTTTCCATGGACTCCTTGGCTGGCTTTTATTAAAACTCCATTTCCTGCTGTCCAAAAGTTGTTCTAGCAAACTAGTTGGAATAGGTTGCATTTTTACACTTAGGACTAAAAGATTTGAGCCGGAGGGAGGTCACATCCACAATGCAAGGCCAATGTAGAGCAAAATGGCTTTATTGCATACGCCTGGGTGCAGGCAGGCTGAGCGGAGAAGGGTTCAGCCTAGAATTAGGGTTGGGGTGTTGGTTATATACCCTACTTTTCCCTTCTGGCAGTTCCTGCTGATGTACTTTATCTGGCCCACTGTCCACCTTGCAGTAGGGCTGGTCCGGTACCTCGTCCGGCATCTGCTGGGTGATCCATTGCCTTGTGGACAATCCAGATAGTTTTTATTTGTACTCAACAGAAGGCTGAGCAAAGGTCACGCAAGCAACACAATTTCCAGTTTCCGCCTTTTGCAAACTTTTACATTTACCCTTTAAAACATTACTAATCCTATCAATGAAATTGGGCCCCAAACCGACTGAAACATTTCATTTGAAAGATATTTTAATATCTTGTCCCCCACCCCCACTTTTGTGGAGAGCAAGGGTTTTTATAGATGTACACAGTGTTTTGGGCAACAAAAAAATCACATCCAAATGGAAATATCCCTGCCCAGCAGGTGTGGCTCAGTGGTTGAGTATCTACCCATGTACCAAGAGGTCGCTGGGTTGATTCCCAGTCAGAGCACATGCCCAGGTTATGGGCCCAAACCTCAGTTGGGGAGGCATGCAGGAGGTGGCCAGTCCATGTTCTCTCTCTATGTTTCTGTCTCTCTCTCTCCCTTCCTCTCTCTCTAAAATCAATTAAAAAAAAGAGAGAGACTTGCCCTGGCCAGTTGATTCAGTGGTTAGACCAAAGAGTCTCAAGTTTAATTTCGGTCAAGGTCATATACCTCAGTTGCAGTTTGGTCCCCAGCCTTGGTTGGGGTCATGAAGGAGGCAGCCAATTGATGTGACACATTGATATTTCACACTATCTGAAGATAAATGGAAAAATATCCTCAGGTGAATTAAAAAAAAAAAAAAAGACTCCAAGAAGTGCCCAAAGGAGGCGGCTCTTTTTTTTCTTTTTAATCCTCACCCGAGGATATGTTTATTGATTTGAGAGAGAGAGAGAGACATCAGTGTCCGAGAGAAACTTTGATTGGCTGCTTCCCATATGCTCCTGATGGGCTTAAACCCGAAACCTAGATGTATGCCCAGACCGAGAATGGAACCCACCACCTGTTGGTGTATGGGATGACGCTCCAACCAACGGAGCCACCTGGCCGGAGCTACAACTTTTTGTTGTAATTAAAGAAAATTCCCGCTTCATCTGGATCTGTCCTTGGTGGCTGACAAAGGAAAGTGGTCCCGCACTTTTGGAAAGGACCTGTCAGAAACAGCTGCCTTTCGGGAATGCTGCCATGCAGTTACGGGGCAAGCTGCCCCACCGTGCGGTTCAGCTCTTGTTTCTCCACATCCTCAGCCATGTTTGTCCCGCGGCTCCCAACAGTGTTTGTCGGCAGAGGAAACTGCTGTAGTCTATTGTCATGTCGTGGCAAGAAGACAAGTGTGTCCCCTGACATGTGGCTTTTTGTTTATTGCTGTTAAGAACATCAAAAGCAGCATCAAATCATTGCCATCAGTTTCAGTGACATTCTGTAAAGAACCAGAGTGATAAGTATCATGACTTCAACACTTCTGAAATACGCTTGTAGAGGTTTGCCTTACGGTCTTCCGACTGTGATGGCTTCATACTGTCATTAGCTAATATCCCAAGGCTCACTATAATTTAGGGAGAGGTGGTTAGTAATAATGGGTGTAAAAACATTTCACAAATAGTCATTGTGATGATTTTTTTTTTTTTTTTACTGACTTCTTGAAGGGTCTGATAAGATAGTCACTGTTTTTATATCAGAATGTGACACAAAACCTCTACAAAGTTCATACCTGCAACAGAAGGTCAGTGCTTATCTTATTTACTTCTGTGTCACTGGGAGTGTTACCAGACAGGGACCCCCCAGAGCCATTCTCCCTCAGGCCAGCCAGTCGTGTGTGGGTTCACAGTGCCAGTCCCCGTGGGTGTGAGAGCATGTTTATTAATGTGGGGAGTGGAATACAGGAAGAAATTAGGGGAGAAGAAACAACAGCCGGTGCTCTGCTTGGGCTTTTCTGGAAATGCTACAGGAAAAACGTTAGCCAAGGCAGGGCTGCTGTCAGCTCACTGGGAAGTCAGAGAGAAGGGGACCTTGGAGATAGGATCATGGGGTGGGGCTGGGGACAAGCTGCTGCTGCCCAGTGCTCCCCTAGTTGTAAGTCTTGTGGGGACCCTTAGAAAGAAAAAGTTCATGCCACGGAAGGGGCATGGCGTGCTCTGGAGTGAGCCTGCATTGAGTCTTTGTCCTAAGGGCTTTTTATCCTTTTTTTTTCTGCAGGTGAGACTCTTAGGGGAGGGTTTCAGTAGGATATTTGTCAGCTTTCCAGGTGCATTTTTACTATGCTGATGCTTCAAAATGAGTGCATAGGGGAGTTTTGGATTATTCTTTGGTCTGTTTTACTTTTGTCTTAGGGAGGTCTGGCTTTAATGGGGCTTTTGTTATTTGTTCCCCAACTTCATCTGTCCTTGGGTTTAGCTGGTACAGACGACATTAATTGGGTCTTTGTTCTCTATTTTCCCAGGCAGGGCAATTGGAACCATGTCTTTTCTGGTTAGAGAGGCAGGCATGAACCATTTGCCCTTGTGTCCTTGGTTGCGATTCACCAGCTGCCTCTAAGTTGCCCAGATTGTTTGGCCTTGTTTGATTTTCTTGTGTTTCCCTGTCCCACTTGCCCAGAATTTTCCAAGTTTATTATTCTTGCCACCGAACCATCGTTAATTCCCGGTTTGTATGCAGGAATCTTGTCACCTCCATTTCCTGAGCGTTAGTTTAGTTAAAGCTAGCTACGTACTCTGTGCTTTATTTTATTTTTTACTTTTTTTTTTAATCCTCACCCGTGAACATTTTTGCATTTATCTTTAGCTAGAGCGGGAGGGAGAGGGAGAGGAAGAGAGAGAGAGAGAGAGAGAGAGAGAAACATCGATGTGAGAGAGACACTGAGTGGTCGCCACCTACATGACCCCAACCAGGGCTGGGACAAACTGCAACCAAGGTACGTGCCCTTAGCGGGAACTGAACCTGGGACTCTCTGGTCCGCGGGCCGACGCTCAAACTGCTGAGCTAAATCGGCCAGGGCCATACTCTGTGTTTAAAAAATTTTTTTTCTTTATTAATTTTCTTTATTTATTTTTATCCTCACCCGAGGACATTTTTCCATTTTTTTTCAGATAGAGTGGGAGGAAGAAAGAGAGAGAGAAACATCGACATGAAAGGGACACATCGAGTGGCTGCCACCCGCACGACTAAGCAGGGCCGGGGACAAACTGCAACCGAGGTACGTGCCTTTTGCGGGAACCGAATCCAGGTCTCTCTGGACTGCAGGCCAACGTTCTAACCACTGAGCCAAACCGTCAGGGCTCTTTATAAATTTTAGAGAGAGGAAGTGAGAGGGAGAGAGATGGAAACACTGATGAGAGAGAACATTGACTGGCCGCCTCCTGCAT